CCTTAGCAATAGTTCTTTTGATGATATCGTATCTGAATCTTTAGATTCAGATAGGATGGAAGTAGAAAAGGGGCTAGATGTTCCCAAGCATCTACTTCCACGAAAAACAAAAAAGCAGCACAGAAAGAACAAACATAAATCATAATGGCTATCCTGGTCTCATGTAACTGTCACGGCTTCCACCGAAATTTGCTTGACATCAAAAGTCTAGTCAATGCTCATCACCCTGTGTGCTTGGCGATACAGAAAGCAAACTTGAAACCGGAACAAGAAACAAAACTTCGGAGGTTTTCGTTTGTCAGGAAAGACAATTTTGCATGTGAACGTGCCAGTGGAGGTGTAGGTCTCCTCACCTCACTTGACTATCCATCAGATACATTTCCTTTGACAACATCACTCCAAGTTGTCACTATGCAGGTAAATTTTCATATTGTGATTTCAGTCGTTTCTCTTTACTTGCTTCCAAATCAGCATGTTGATCAACAGCATTTGAGTGAACTCATATAGTAGCTGCCTGAGCCCTTTATCATAACAGGATTTTAACGGCCATAGTCTGCCGTGGGGAAATAAAGGCACCAATTCTTGAGGAAGACAAATTGAGCAGATGATCCAAGATCATTGCCTTTCTCTCCTGAATAATGGGCAGAACACATACTTCCATGAACCTACAAAGACATTTCATGCTGTTGATCTTGCCATCTGTTCACCATCACTGTTGCCATTTTGCACTTTCAGTGTTGGGAATGATCTTTATAACAGCGATCATTATCCCATTTTTGTAACTCTCGTACGAGGAGGAGCAAACCCCATGTCGAGATCCTCTCGTTTTATACTGGATAGGGCTGACCGGCAACTCTTCTCATCCGTTGCAGAGCTCACAGAGGAAATGGTAAAAGATGTGCAGATCGATTATGCAGTGGAATCGGTTACTAATGCTATAATTCAGGCAGCTACACTCTCCATTTTTAGAACATCAGGAACATTCATGGTATTCGAAGCCATGGTGGAATCGTGACTGTCTTGAAGCACTGAAAAAACAGAAAAAAGCATGGAGAATTTTTCGTAGATACCCTACTCTGCAAAACCTTGTGGCATTTAAAAGAGCCAAAGCAAATGCACGAAAAGTAAGAAGGCAAAGCCAGAGGAATTCCTGGATTTCATATGTGTCATCAATAACCAATAACATCCTCTACACCTAGTAAGTAGGTTTTGGGAAAGAGTTAGAAAAGCGTGCGGAATATATAAAGACTACTCACTTTCCTTTCTGGAAAAAGATGGCCGAGAGATTAGCTCCATAGAAGAAATTGTGAATACCATTGGTTAGACATTTACTGCCATTTCTTCCAGCAGAAACTATTCACCTGCATTTCTCTCTATGAAACAGCACTCTAAAAGAAATCCCATCGCTTTCAACTCTTCCAAATCTGAGCCTTATAATACTGACTTTACTATCCTTGAATTAAGGAGAGCTTTGCTGCGGACATGCATGTCTTCTCCAGGTCTTGATGGCATAAGTTACGAAATGCTGAAGCATCTGTCCTACCATTTCAGAATCTTTGTATGTGGATGATGTACAAATTAGCTGTTGAGGAGCAAATATGAGACATGTAGCGAGGCAACTCCAGATTGCTTTGAACAGGTTCCAGGATTGGGCAAACAGGCAAGAATTTACGTTTTCAAAGCAGAAGACTGTGTGCATGCTATTTTGTAGAAAACGAGGTCTCCATCCTGAGCCTGAATTTATATCTCAATGGGTCAAGTGATTCCAGTTGCACCTGGAAGTAAAATTTTTAGGGGTGATATTCGGCCGAAAATTGACTTTCCTTTCTCATATTTTAAATTTGAGAAAGAAGTGTTTACAAAACATTTTAAATATTTTAAAAAGTGTTTGTCGAACACTTCCTTGGGGTTGCAGAGCGTTGCTCTATGCTTCGCATTTACAGAGCGCTTGTTCGCTCTAGACTGGGCTATGGCTCAGTTGTTTACGGATACGCTTGGTCATCAGTATTGTTAAAAGTAGATCTTATTCACCATCACGCTCTGTGGATTTGTTCAGGAGCTTTCAGGACTTCTCCTGTCCAGAGTCTGTATGTTGAATCTAACGAACCATCACTTTATCTGAGGCGTGAGCAGTTGTCCCTTTTGCAATATTTTAATATTCTATCGCAACCTAAACATTCTAATAAGCTGTGCTTACTTGATAATGTGTGTAACACTTTATTTGAAGCACGTCCACTCTGTGTGCCTTCCTTTCCTTTAAGAGTTCGACCTGCCATTGAGGAATTTCTCCCTCTCTGATATGTGTCCCCCAAGGAAAGCAGAAGTTTGAAATCCCACCTTCGGAAAAGTGTACAACGGATCCAGACTTCTTGATGTTTTCAACCATCACGTGAAGGGAAGCACTAACGAGATCATTTTACAGACAACTCTTCGCTGAGCACAGGCACAAATACAGCCGTTATCATCCAATGTATACAGATGGATCCAAGACTTAAATGATCATGCTTCGGGTATGGCATTTGTAATTTGAAGATTCACATAGAGGGCAGATGCTTGCACCATGACTTTCTCAGTCTTAACATCTGAACTAACTGCAATATATTATGGTCTTTTCTACATCTCAAAGCTCTGCCACAAAATGTTCATAATTTATACAGACTCGTATAGTGCTCTTAAATCGTTGGAAGCTATTCCCAACACTCAGAATCCTATGGTAGTGGATGTTCTCAAGATTTATATAAACTTAACGATTCGAGGATATGAAGTCCTGTACTGCTGGGTCCCTGGGCATGCAGGAATAAAGGGAAATGAGCTTGCAGATAACGTAGCAAAATCTGCTGTTGAACTAACTGTCCAGTCGTCTCATCCCTTTTAGAGACATCTGCTGTGTGATGAAGGGAAAGATCCAAAAAAAAAAAAAAAATGGCAGCAAATTTGGGATGTTCATCTTCACAACAAGTTGAGAAATGTAAAGCCTAGAATTGAGCATTGGGATTTTGCTGGAAATCGTAAGGAGGAAGTTCCTTTTGACTCGCCTCAGAATTGGTCACACTAGTGTGACACATAACTACCTCTTGAAAGCTGAGAATGAGCCTGTTTATTTGAATATTAATGCTTGTCTATCAGTACGTCACATATTTTAATACAGTGTCCATGTTTTAATAGTCTTCGTCAGAAATATTTTAATAGCTGTGACCTACCTCTCGAGCATTTAATCGGAAGAGAGGTCAACAGTAATTTATTTTATTATTTAAAAGGAGACTGGCTTTTATTGCCTAAGGTAATTTGTTTTGAAGATTGTGTCTTGGATTTTAATGTGTGCTTTTACCTTGTTTTTATGTGACTTCATCCTCTGGTTTTGGTACATTTGTCCACCTGTTTTTATATATTGTATTTTAATTTCATAAATTTTGACCATCCCACCTCGTGTTTGGCGTGTTATAATCAATCATCTTTGGTTTTGCACCAATAACCTCACTCTCACTCACTTTACGCAATTTCAAAATCTTCGCTGATGGAAGTTGTATCTAAAACCTGGAAAATAATACGAGTCTATATCCTGGAGTCCTAATCTAAATATGGTTTTTTCTCAACTGGATAAATCATTCGAGCTGCCCATTGGGTGGCCAACTATAACCAAAACTAACATAAACAAAAGACTCGTCTGGCCTTTTTAAATAGTTTTAATTAAGAAAACAATTAAAATAAAACATTATAATTAAGGGTGCTATAATTACAAATTTAAGTTACAAAGTAAATCTCGGGGAACGCCAAGCTTAGTTCGTGACTCCAGTACATCGACTGAAGGCTATAGATTTTTTTTGGCTGGTGTTTCTTCCGGCCGTTGTAATGTAGCACTCATTGAGCTGTGGGGTTACACAACAGCATTTTTACAAAACATTAATGTCAAGTTATGTTTGATAATGGTAGGAGTATTTAACTGTTGATAACAATCTATGAACAAACTAGACTTGTTAAGTTACACATGCAAGTAAATTTTGTGACAGTTTGTCACTTAAAATTCCACAAGAAGTATTGTTTATATATATATATGAACACTTTTGATGGATGATTTCAAATAAGTGAATTATGAAAATATGCTGGAAATCTGAATATGAGTTTCAGTATCCAAATTAATTCCATTTATTTTTAAATTGAAAGGCATTAAATTGTTAATAAATTTATTCGCAGATATTGAGAATATAATAAAAGTACATTTTATTTTCTGTTTAATTTTATTATAAACTATGATAAGCGTGTCTGAAATTATTTAGATGTTCTGTACATTTTAGAACATTGTACACATTTTAATAGATATGTACATGTGTAATATTCACATATGATATTTAAGTGTGAAAAATTTGCCTTCTGCACCTCACAATTGCTTCACTGTTTCTTAGCATAATTGAGTAATACAAAGTTCGTAATCCAGACGTCCATTATCCAGAATGATCTATAATCCGGACCTCAAAGCCACAAACTTTACGCACGTGCGTAAAGAATGTTCATACATTACACATGCGCTTTATGTATGCTTTACGCATCTGCACGTTGAAAGAAATGTTTAATAAAGTAAACAAATAAATATTGAGACTCTTTAGATCATAATTGCTCTTTATTTCATAAATTATGGTTTCATATTTTTAATTGTATAATTTCTGCATGCCATCTTACCAGATTTAAATTGATGATCTATAATCCGGAAAAACCACTAATCCGGAATCGCCGAAGTCCCAACGAGTCCGGATTACAGACTTTGTACTGTAGAAAGAATTCTGACTTTTATCTGACTCAAAATGGAAAATTTTTTTGTTTACGAAATATAGATTTTTTGTTCCAAAATCATCCTGTGTATCCTTATTTCATCCATATACTATTGCTGCTTTGAATGAATGTATAGAAAAAAATTTGATTAATTCTGTATTTATATTCCAGTTAGATTTTAATTACATTAAATTTGTAGTTAATATTGCATATAATTATATTTTCCTTTGTAACAGTTGGTGGTATCTACACTGTAATACGTTCAAAAGCAGGTGTAAGTGTCGAAGAACTTGGTGATCAGTATTGTCTTTTGGGTCCATATAATGATGGACTCGTTAAAACTGAAGTTGAGGTTATGGAACCACCTGAAGCATTCTATCAAAATGCTATTCAAGCAATGAAAAATTCAGGAATTAAGGTATATTTCTTTTTTATGTATATTTTAAATAATAATTCAGATCTTGTATATTAAATATGATACTTACATATTTTTCTCTCATCCATTTTTGACAAACAGCTGTCACCAAACAGGAGAATCTAGTGCCAGTAATGGATAAGCATGGCATCGCAGTGCACTCATAAGGTCTTTGCTGCGGTTTTATCTAAGCACGAGCCTCAATAAACCAGCTTAGTTTTTGCAAAGAAAGATATAAGTTAACTGTTATTTCTGTATTCTGCTTTCTTTTTAATTTTGAAATAATGATTAAAATTTTTTACAGAACAGCAAATAGTATTTTCAGAATTACTCAACTGGTTATATTGCTGTACATACTTGAAACAAGGAAAGATTCTGGAGTTTAACAAAGGGGCATTTTTGAAAAACCCACACAGGCCATGTGATGTACGTTTAAGATAATTGATGTTGCTTGCAATTTACAAACAAGATGATTATTTTAGTGCTATTTTAAAATTGTATTTGGGAAGTGTGGCTGACAGAATGATGGGCAAAAGTTTTAAGAAATTTCTTTGTAAGATTATCTCTCTCAAAGCTTGATTTCCTATTTATTTAAGTTTTTTTATGTTATATCTGTAACTTATATCTGTTGATTATCTAACTAAATAAAGAATGATCTATTCCTTGAAATTTCCACCGGAATGACTGATATAAGTTTGGTGGGATCTCTACCAACTTTTACAGTTGATTGGAAAATGCATAAGTACCATCAATACATACACTGCTCATTATAATATAAAAATAATTTATTTTGTTATATTATTATTATTTTTTTTTAGGTTATTTATGGGAGATGGCTTATTGATGGCTATCCGAAAGTTGTTTTATTTGATATTGGTTCAGCCGCCTGGAAACTAGATGAGTGGAAAAGAGACTTATGGAATGTGGCCAATATTGGAGTTCCATGGCATGATCGAGAATCAAATGATGCAATTATATTTGGGTACCTTGTGGCTTGGTTTCTTGAGGAGGTGTAATAATTTGAATAATCATATTTAAAAAATTTGCTAAGAATTTTATAGTAGTACATCTTAAAATTATAATTGCATTGCTTATCAAAATTAAATAATATTCACAGAAATAAATCTTAACTGTTATTCATTGAAAAATTATTGAAAATAGTTTGTACAAAAGCATTATTTAACCCTCTGAGTAATACAGCTTTTTGAATTTGCTTAAGAACTATATTTAAAATTCATTAATTTACTAATTTGTATAATTAATTATTTTAGTCTGTTTTCTTAAACTTTCATTTATTAAGACAATATTTAGTTCATTAAAGAAAATAAGGAAACAAAATATTTTAAGTATTAAAAGTAATATACACCAAATGATAAGTCTCATGACCAAGATAAAAGCTGTCATGCCATGATGTAAATTACTGTGTTTACCCTTTGATTAATCTCAAAATATTCAATTTAAAAGCAAATTTATGAAAATTTTAAAATGATAAAAGTTGATCACCTGTTCAATATGGCGTATGTTCATCTGGGATAGAAATATGAGCCTCAGATCTTAATTTCATAGAATTCATCAAACTGTTGATCAGGTTTTCTAGAACTGCGCGCTCCCTTTCTCGAAATGTAGTTTTCAAATCCTTAAGTATCCATAGATGTATGTAGTGTATTGTGTAGCTGCCAACCCTCCTGGTTTTTAATTTTTAGCCTTATCAAGGCAAATGTTTCCCAGCAACAAATTAAATTTATTAAATTAGTTAAAGTTAAATTAGGAAAATTCCATTAAACCACTTCTAGTGATTTTCAGAATAATTTTTCTCATTAAATTTTACTTCATTTGAATTATATGTTTTTATAACATTTTATTGACCTTATTTAATTTTTCTTATTAAATTTCATTTGACCAGCATTGTTTTAATATACTGTGGACATTTGTAGATTTTTATCGGAAGAGGCAAGAAATGTTTAATCAGTTTGTATTTAATATTATTTTGTTTCAATATATGGTACATTACTAAGTTTATCCACACAAATACTATGTACATTAATTATTAATTTTATTTTCATTGTATTTAAAAGTACTTTGATAAATAAAAACTTTTCTTAGTTTTTATTTATATATAGTGGGATTAAGAAATCTGGTATATTCTAGTAAAAGTATAAGAAAATTTTACAATTAAATTAGCAAAAAGAAACAAAATTTAGAGTACTTAATTAAATACTAATATATTTTACATCAGAGTTGTATTATAAATAATTGAATAACATAATTAACAAATTAATTGAATAACATTAATTAAGCTGCATAACTGAATTACAGTCAGTTTAAAGTTCCTTAGAAATGCTGCCACCATACAGCATGAAACCCACCTAGCTTCTCTCGGGTTTCATGCAAAAATCTTCTGGTTCAAATTTCAAGGTTGGCAAATATGGCATGCTGTAATTCAGTGGCCTAAAACATCCACATATGCTATAATGACTTCCAAGTCAAGGTAGTAAGCAGACTATTCCAATGATATCTTCTGTTTCCAAGTATTCCGATTCCAGAGATACTTAATGCAGATGAGCATTGTTATCCATAAGGAAAATTTCTGTTCAGCAGCACCCCTAGACAGTTTTATATAGGATTTTAAGATTTTGGCCATATATCTGTGACCAGTTATAAATTCTCCATCAAAAATTTAATTTAGTTTGACAGTTTTAATGAAAAGTGACTAAAATCACAACTCAGACTATATCTGTGCTCATCAATAACCTACATGTTCCTCTGAGCTTAACTGAACATGATGACAATGCTGCCTTAAATGGTCCTCTTTGAAAAATGAAGTGAGTAGGGCACAAACTATTAATTTTCTCACATAAAGTCCAATCTTATCAGCAGCTGTAGAACCATTAATTTGAGATCCTGTGGCAATTTGTAGGTCTAAAACAATTCTTTTTTAGTTGGTTGGCCACCATTAGACCAGACTGTGTACTTACCAATTCACTGCTTAAAAAATTCTTGATATGACATTTTAAAGGATATTCCGATTGTGAATGACCTGCATTTTTATTTCCTCTCCCTCTTAATGAGTCACCTAATTGCCTATCACTTTTGCCCTTCACTTAAATGATGCCTTTAAGTCATAACTAATGAATACTGATCACTCTTAGAAGCCGCGTTAACTTTATATGACACCATTTACATACAACACTGTACATGGTTCCAAAGTCTTATATGCATCCATTGCGAAACTTGTTAATTGTCTAATTTTTTCTTGTATTAACCTCTGTGTAAAAGTTGAATTTTGTATTCAGTTGCAGCGAATTAACATAAATATCTGGTTGTAACAAAAGCTGTCTGCCAAAAAATGTTCTTAATAAAGTTAGGGGAAAAAAAAACAGGAAAGTACTGAAAATCGGTATATCCAAGTACCCGTTACTTCAGTAACGAAATCGGTACTTTTTGGTATTCGTTACTTCTGTACCGAAATGGGTACTTTTCGGTATTCGTTACTTCTGTACCAAAACGGGCACTTTTCGGTATTCATTACTTCTGTACCAAAACGGGTACTTTTCGGTATTTGTTACTTCTGTACCGAAACGGGTACTTTTTGGTATTCGTTACTTCTGTACCGAAACGGGTGCTTTTCGGTATTTGCCACTTTGTAACGAAAACATGCGTCTCTTCTCAGTATTTTGGTATTCGTTACTGGAGGATCGATGAGGGTTCAGCTCACTTCGGTTTTGGTACGAGGACAGTAGTATCTGGTTGTATTTGCGAAATGGTGATATGCGCTCCTTGTGTCCATGAATGACCTTGAAATAGGGCATGGAATGGCAAACGTGAAAGGGGGGAACTTCCGTTCCGTTCGTCACGGAGACTAGAGTTTGAGGTAGTATAATTAATTGCCTTTGTGTGCGCGGGAGGACGAGTGTGAAATAGTGGAAATTTTTCGAAAGGCCGTTCGTTGTGTGTGTGTGGGGGGAATAGTAGCAGTTGGAGTCACTGTCGCCGGCATTGCTCGCTTGTGATTGGAGTCGGTATAGTCAGGAGGGAAAGGGAGGGGAGCGCTAGATGATTTGCAATCCGAATTGTGCATGTTTTAATTTTTCATCGTTTGTAGGAGAAAAACTGCGTGGATCTGAAATGATTGATTTGGTAAGTTGCTGTTGTTGGATTGGTGAATGGAATCAACTACCAACTAGATTACTTCCTTTTCCTCAACATATTTTTAGCATAAATCATGAAAAATATTTTTCGTTTGCTTGCTTAATAGGGCAACGTAAATCATATGATCCTTTTTAAATAAATATGATCCTTTTTTTATCCCGCTGTACCTACTTCAGAAAATGTCACAGCATCTAGTGGATCACTAAGCCAATCAACATAAAATACAGACGCAATTTTAAACTTTTCTAATGAAAGAACAAAGATAACTGACCCACTTATGATAATTCTGATATTCTTCCCCCTTCTAAAAACAGATTTTCATCTCGCCAAAAACTAAACCCAGGTCACATGCCTAACGCAGGATTGTCAACGCCTGCTTTACCCCCCAGGACATGACGACGCTCCTCTGATAGTAAGAGAGGTGAACTTTGACCTGGCAGTCCGAATCTTCTTTTTTTTTTTTTTTTTTTTTTACTCCCTCTGGAGCTTATTTGGGGGGGGGGAACTATCGAATCGAACACAGGAAATTATCCGCACATGTTTATGTAAACATACATGTCCCTCCCTTTTTTTCCTTTGCATTTTTTGCTCTTTTTCATGCCTGATTAATAGAATCATTACGCGATATATTGCACTTACCCTTTTCACAGCGTAGTGCTGATTTTAGAATTTGCAGCTGGAGTGAACAGCGGAAGTCGTTAATAGAATTTTTTTTATGCTTATCTGACGATGCTGATGACCATCTCCCAACTTCGTCGTCACTTTTCCCATAAGATTCATTCTTGTCTCGTACTGGTGAGTATCGGTACGTTATAGAATTGCTTAGTCTCTATCAGTTTCTTACGCCTCAAGAAAAAAAAAAAAAAAAAATCGAATTACAAAATGTCTAGTAAGAAAAGGAAATTCAGCTTGGTTTGGCAGCACTTTTCCTATACTAATGAAGACGAAAAAGTTATGTGTGACATTTGTAAAGACCTTTTATCCATCAAAGGTGGTTCAACAGGAAATTTAAAAAAAACATTTGCAAAGGAAGCATCCTTGTGTAAATCTGCACGAGAAACGCGCTTTGCCGAATCAAGATGTTGATGATATTGATGCCGCTCCAGCCCGTTCTGTCGTCACTAGCCCTGCAGATGGTGGGCAACCATGCACATCCCAGCAGACTACACAACTTACGGTAGACAACAGTGCTTGTGATATTGTTGGTGTATTTTCACAAAAATCCCAGTCCAGCATAATGCAGTTTGTCCAGAGAAATACGATGGATGTACGTAAAAAAAAAAAAAAAAAAGTAATCGATCGCGCACTGATCAAAATGGTATATAAGGATTTACAACCAATAAGTATCGTAGAAAATGAGGGATTCCGAGAATACTCAAAGGCTTTGAATCCAACCTATTCCTTACCTTCACGGAAAACGGTTTCTAAATCCTTGCTTCCTGCTGCTTATGAAGAAAAAAAGAATAGTTTAAAAAACGTTCTTAGTGCTGTACAAAATATCTGTTTGACTGTAGACTGTTGGAGCAACCAAAAGGCTGAAAGTTACATGGCCGTGACAGGCCATTTTATTGACGAACACATGCAAAGGAAAACGGTACTGATTGACTGCTCAATTTTTGATGAACGTCATTCAGCCAAAAATATTGCAGAAAATATCATACACATTTGCCAACCATATTTTCCGATGGAAAAAGTGTCTTTAATAGTGACTGACAATGCCAAAAATATGATTAACGCTGTCGACAGCGAACTAAAGTTAAAACATTTAGGATGCATTGCACACTCTCTCAATTTGGCTGTCACAAATTCTCTAAACGAGGTTAACGACCTTCTAACGAAAATTAGGGATATTGTGATAGTT